AATGCTGGAACTTCTAGTGGCACAGGAAAGAAAGAAGTTATATGTGAGTACTGCAAGAAGCCGAAGCACACCAAAGACAAGTGCTGGAAGTTACATCCTAAYCYTGTTCCCATTCGGTTTCAGAAAAAACATGATAGTAAAAGATCAGGAAGTGCAAATGTAACTGTCGGGCCAGATAGTGAAGAGATGTCTGCTTCTGCACAATTGGCAGCTATGAGAGCAGAATATGAAAAGTTTGGGAAGATGATTAGTCAACTGAGTGATGTGACATCTCCTTCTAACCCTTCAGAAAATTTTACTACTTCAGCATTTGCTCATTCAGGTATAAGGGCTTCTGYCAATCATGCTACCTCTTCAGGTAATCTCAAGATCCCTTGGATTATTGACTCAGGTGCTTCTGACCATATGACCAATCTGTCTACCTTGTTTGTTTCATATGACTTACTTCCTGGACGTGATAAAATCACTTTAGCTGATGGTTCATTTGCCCCTATCTCTGGTAAGGGAACCATCAAGGCTACGAATTCCTTGTACCTACCTTCTGCCCTTCATGTACCTAAACTAAATACAAATCTGTTGTCTGTGAGTAGTTTAACCAAGTCACTAAACTGTTGTGTAACATTTTTTCCTTCCTACTGTGTTTTTCAGGATCTGGAGTCTCAGAAGGTGATTGGGAGTGGCCATGAGGCAAACGAAATATACATGCTTGATACTCCGGGACAATGCACTAATCATCTTGGGAATGTTGCTATTGGATCTGTCTCTTCAGAGTCTGTTAGTCGGATTATGTTGTGTCATTATCGTTTTGGTCATCTGTCTTTTTCTACCTTGACTCATCTATTCTCTGAACTGTTTAAGGGAATTAGTCTGTCCAGGCTACAAATATTTTATCCTGTTTATTGATGATTTTTCACGGTTCACTTGGATATTCCTGATGAAATCCCGTGATGAAGTTCCAAGACTTGTAAAACAATTCCATGAATTTGTTCTAACCCAATTTGATACCAGGATTAAGATCTTCAGATCGGACAATGCAAAAGAATACTTTGGGAAAAACCTATCCTGCTATCTTTCTGACATGGGGGTTATTCATCAAAGCTCATGTGCTAGGACCCCAAAACAAAATGGGGTTGCTGAGAGGAAAAACAAGCATATTGTTGAGGTTGCAAGAAGTATCTTATTTGCCTCACATGTTCCTACCAGGTTTTGGGGTGATGTACTTACTGCTACCTACCTTATAAACCGCATGTGATCCAGGGTTTTGGGGTTTAAGTCTCCCTTCACTCTTCTTCATCTGGACAAGGATATTTTTCCTGTTCCTATTCGTGTCTTTGGCTGCACCTGTTATGTACATGTTCCAAGTGTCCAAAGGCATAAATTTGAACCCAAAGCTCAAAAGTGTATCTTCCTTAGTTATTCCCCCACACAGAAGGGTTATTGTTGTTTTGATCCAAAGTCTGGCAATTGGTATGTCTCAATGGATGTCATCTTTGATGAGCTTTCCCCCTTTTATGGTTCCTCTCCAAAAGGATATTGTCCACAGGGGGAGAATTTGACACATGTGTTTGCTCTTCCTCTTCCTGTCCCTGTTGAGTCTCTTGATGTATCTGCCTCTCCTTCAAATGAATCAAGGGTGGATCAGTCGCTCCATTCTCCTTGTCCCAGTACTCTACCCCCTCGTCCTATCCTCAATCCCAAGGTGTATCACAGGCAAAGATCCAGAAATGTGCAGGTTGTTTCTCCTACAACACATGAGCCTC